AGGATAAATAGAGGGGATTGGGGGGGGGGGCTGCTCCCGGCCTCCCCGACCCCTCCGTCCCGTCGGGGCTTTTTCTCAAGTTGCCTCCTCGGCGTTGAAGTTTTTACCGGTGCGAGGAGAGATTTTGGAGCTGCGGGGTGGTTTGAGGGGGGTGGGTTGGAATGAGCGTCTTGTCCGGCTCGGTTAGTGATGTTTGAGATGAGGGGGGAGGACCACACTATTCATCGGGACCCCTTTGTGAAGGGAGGGAATCTCTCTGTGGGAAGGGGGGGTTGGCAGAGAAGGAGTAAGAGGCAGAGGAGCCGAACAGCCGGAGCGCTGCGTGTTTGGATGTGCTTTGCTCATTAAGTGCTCTTTGGAGACCGATGTTAGAATGAAACGGCATCACACAATTAACAGACATGGGGCTTGAATGGGAGGGTAAGCGGAGGAAGAATAGATAGATAAATAAATGAGAGATCAGGCGAAGGTAAACAAAAGGGGAGAGGAGAAAAGGGCTGAAAGGAGAGGTTAGAATGGCTGCTCCAGCCTTGTTTAGCATGACAAAACGGCGCTCACAAATGAGGACAATTAAAGGAGCTGGCTTCGGGAGGGCCCCTCTTTCTCTCTTTCTCTCTTTCTCTCTTTCTCTCTTTCTCTCTTTCTCTCTTTCTCTCTTTCTCTCTTTCTCTCTTTCTCTCTTTCTCTCTTTCTCTCTTTCTCTCTTTCTCTCTTTCTCTCTTTCTCTCTTTCTCTCTTTCTCTCTTTCTCTCTTTCTCTCTTTCTCTCTTTCTCTCTTTCTCTCTTTCTCTCTTTCTCTCTTTCTCTCTTTCTCTCTTTCTCTCTTTCTCTCTTTCTCTCTTTCTCTCTTTCTCTCTTTCTCTCTTTCTCTCTTTCTCTCTTTCTCTCTTTCTCTCTTTCTCTCTTTCTCTCTTTCTCTCTTTCTCTCTTTCTCTCTTTCTCTCTTTCTCTCTTTCTCTCTTTCTCTCTTTCTCTCTTTCTCTCTTTCTCTCTTTCTCTCTTTCTCTCTTTCTCTCTTTCTCTCTTTCTCTCTTTCTCTCTTTCTCTCTTTCTCTCTTTCTCTCTTTCTCTCTTTCTCTCTTTCTCTCTTTCTCTCTTTCTCTCTTTCTCTCTTTCTCTCTTTCTCTCTTTCTCTCTTTCTCTCTTTCTCTCTTTCTCTCTTTCTCTCTTTCTCTCTTTCTCTCTTTCTCTCTTTCTCTCTTTCTCTCTTTCTCTCTTTCTCTCTTTCTCTCTTTCTCTCTTTCTCTCTTTCTCTCTTTCTCTCTTTCTCTCTTTCTCTCTTTCTCTCTTTCTCTCTTTCTCTCTTTCTCTCTTTCTCTCTTTCTCTCTTTCTCTCTTTCTCTCTTTCTCTCTTTCTCTCTTTCTCTCTTTCTCTCTTTCTCTCTTTCTCTCTTTCTCTCTTTCTCTCTTTCTCTCTTTCTCTCTTTCTCTCTTTCTCTCTTTCTCTCTTTCTCTCTTTCTCTCTTTCTCTCTTTCTCTCTTTCTCTCTTTCTCTCTTTCTCTCTTTCTCTCTTTCTCTCTTTCTCTCTTTCTCTCTTTCTCTCTTTCTCTCTTTCTCTCTTTCTCTCTTTCTCTCTTTCTCTCTTTCTCTCTTTCTCTCTTTCTCTCTTTCTCTCTTTCTCTCTTTCTCTCTTTCTCTCTTTCTCTCTTTCTCTCTTTCTCTCTTTCTCTCTTTCTCTCTTTCTCTCTTTCTCTCTTTCTCTCTTTCTCTCTTTCTCTCTTTCTCTCTTTCTCTCTTTCTCTCTTTCTCTCTTTCTCTCTTTCTCTCTTTCTCTCTTTCTCTCTTTCTCTCTTTCTCTCTTTCTCTCTTTCTCTCTTTCTCTCTTTCTCTCTTTCTCTCTTTCTCTCTTTCTCTCTTTCTCTCTTTCTCTCTTTCTCTCTTTCTCTCTTTCTCTCTTTCTCTCTTTCTCTCTTTCTCTCTTTCTCTCTTTCTCTCTTTCTCTCTTTCTCTCTTTCTTTTTCTTTCCTTCCTTCCTTCTTTCCTTCCTTCTTTCCTTCTTTCTCTCTTCTCTCTTCCTTTTTCTCTTTCTTTCTCTCCTCTCTCTCTCACCCTTTCTCTTTTTTCTCTCCCTTTCTTTCTTCCTCTCCCTGTTTCTTTCTTTCCTCTCCTCCTTCTCTCCCTCTTTTCCTTTTCCCCACTCTTTCTCAGCCTCTCTCCATCCTCTTCCCTCTCTCATTTCCTTCCTTCCTCTCTCATTTTCTCCCTTCTTTTTCCTTCTTAGCTGCTTCTTCTCTTTCTTCCTCTTTCATTCTTTTATTTTCCCTCTTCCTTTCCCTTTTTCCCCTCTTCCTCTGTTCCTGTTTCTCCCTCTTTTCCCCTCGTTCTCCCGCCGGCCCTTCCCCTCCCTGCTCTCCCTGCCGGCTCTCCCATCACATTCCCTGCTCCCCGGCTCTTTCGTTTCCATTCCCCCGCCGTGTTATTCCTCCAAGTCCGTCTGCAGGTGTGTAGCTATTTAACTCGTGGAGATAAAGAAATTAAATAATGATCTTGACACTGCAATGAACCGATTACTGACTTTGATGTCAAAGGGAAACCAAAAACAGAAAGAAAGTGGGAGAGAGAGAGAGAGAGGGTGTGTGGGGGGAAAAGCTATTCCCTCGAGGGGGAAAAGCAGCTCCTCGTCAAACCTGTTTCCCCACAACTGTCTCCTTCTTGCAATAAAATCATTAAGCAGAGGCCGCGGGGTTACGCGCAGCAGGGCTCGGCTGTCCCGGCCCGGGCTGCTCCGCGCAGCCTCGTCCGCACCCGCGCAGCGCGGGACCCGCGGAGGCACCGGAGCCCGAGTCTGCCCCGAAACCCGCTCGGCCCCGCGTTCCGCTGCCTTTTCTTTTCTTTTCTTTTCTTTTCTTTTCTTTTTTCTTTCTCCTTTCCTTTCCTTTCCTTTCCTTTCCTTTCCTTTCCTTTCCTTTCCTTTCCTTTCCTTTCCTTTCCTTTCCTTTCCTTTCCTTCCCTTTCCTTCCCTTTCCTTCCCTTTTCTTTTCTTCTTCCCTTTCCTTTCCTTCCCTTTTCTTTCCTTCCCTTTTCTTTTCTTTTTTCTTTTTTCTTTTTTCCTTTTTTCTTTCTCTTCTCTTCTCTTCTCTTCTCTTCTCTTCTCTTCTCTTCTCTTCTCTTCTCTTCTCTTCTCTTCTCTTCTCTTCTCTTCTCTTCTCTTCTCTTCTCTTCTCTTCTCTTCTCTCTTTCCTTCTCCTTCTCCTCCTCCACTTCCTTCTCCTTCTCCTTCTCTTCTCCTTTTCTCCTCTCCTCTCCGGTTCTGTTTCGGCTCCATTGCCGCCTGCAGGACCACCTAGACACTCCAAACCCTGCAGCCTGACCTTCTTTGCCACAAAACGACCCGCGGGGGGGCAGGAGGCCGGAAAGCGGGGGGCAGAAGGAGCTGGGGAGCCCTCGCTGGGGCCCAGGTGTGTGCGAGCGCAGGGAGCTCTGCCGCTCGAGAGACAAAGACAGGAGGGGAACGATGTGATGTTCGAAAACTTTCCTTTAAAGGACGCATTAAGCCCATAGAAGTCTCGGAGAGATA